AATTATTTATAACACCGTTTATTTCGACATATACACATATGTAATCGCCTAACATTTGAGATATATTGCGCTTCCGATGTTAATAATAGCGGGAGGTCGCTTATGATGATAGTAGTCAAACATAGGTTGCCTGGAGTCGTGTACAAACTAGACAAAATGTCACTGAAAGACAATAACGACGATTATATAGATAGACTTTTTTTCTTATGAATGTCGACTATATTTTTAGCCTTATGAACAATTTTACATGTGTAAGATTTAGTTTTTTTTTCATATTAGTCAATATCAAACGAATACATATTTACATATATATATATATATATATTTATACATTTTATTTTAAGTTATTATAATATTGGCATAGACAAATATACATTTTTGAACATATGTAGTTATTTGATATGATGAATATTAGGAATGAGAAAGAATAATCATCATTCAAGGATAGATTATTAACAATATGATAGAAAAAAAAGATGATGAATAGAAAGCAAATAGCGGTTTTATCGATCTAAATTGCATATGCTTGTATGACCTGAACATATGAAAAGCAAAAAAGATAAGAATCGATTCACTTGACTGATATAAAGTGATTTTCACAGGTCAATAAATTCGAAATTTTTAAAAGTATTTCATTTTATTATTTGTTTAATTAACATAATGGTAAAATAGAAAAAGAATATTTTTTAAAATACTATAATCAACTAATTTATTTAAAATAAATTTTAAAGAAAAAAGAAAAACTTAATAGATGATATTTTCTGATAAGAAAAGAAGAATCCTATCGATGATAATATCAGAAGATTAATTTTTTTTTTCCATAGAACACAATAATTACATCATAAGAACAGCCGTCAGTTGATATAAAAAGAAATATGATGTGTTAATTGCTTCAATTGATAAGTAAAGTGAACTTGAGTTTATGCAAGAAGATACTTCACTTGGAATTGAATGACTCAGATTAGCTATTGTCTATAAAGAGATGTTATAGATAGATAATGAGCTTTTTTTTTTTTTTTCTTTTGTAATATCGATTTCTGTTTATTGAAAACTAAAATCCAATCGATCGATTATTTAAAAAGATAATGAGTTCTATTTAGAGAATTTATTTTCTTCACAGTAATCATATTTCATTTTTTTTTTCTTTTCGAAAGAGTTAAAACTATTTTGAGAATTTGTTAGTTCAAAAAATCAAAACATTACACATTTTTTTTTTAGTGTGAATATACTAATTAAAATTTCAATTTTGCGAGAAATTAATTCACTAATGGAGGTTTTCTATTATGGGAAAAGGTTTACATCAGAGGTTCAAATAGACTATTGAGTTTATTCATTTAAATTTTCAACACAGGAAAAAAACCACCGTCTATTAATTGAATTGTTGGCTGAGGAGAGACAAATTTCTCAAAGTCCTATGAAAAAAAACCATGTTCTTTGTAAGATCTGTCAAAATTCATCAGTATCATATTTTTCGAGAAAAAGAAAAAAAGCCTATCCTAATTTATTCAAAGATGTCTCGGAAAAAGTTTCAGCGGTATTAGTTGCAATATCTGAGTGAAAACTTCGAAATTTCTATGAAGAAAATTGATATTAACAAAAGTAAATTAAAATTTTTCTACATAAGCTCAACAATCAAACGACACTTCAAGCTATGTAACGCCTGGAAAAGTCTGAAATTTTGGTGTCCGGAAAGGACTAGAATCTACTTAAGTCAATAAGTCTTTCGTAAAGTTATGTCATTTTCTAAAGAAAGCCTTCTGTTTCCATTCAATTACCATCATAATACTAATATCCATTTCAAAAAAAGAAAAAGGATGGATATGTTTTGAATAACTTTTGATAGAAACTAGTTAGAGAAGTTCGGTTTTCATCGTTTAACAGAAGAGATGAAACCGCATCGAATCGTCTATATCAGATTTTTTTTGTAAACAAGTTTCCTCAGAGTCTACCATCAAGTTTGTTAAATACAAAAGATTATTTAATATAAAACTTTTACGATCCCAATTTTCAAAAATGCACTAGAATCGTTAACTGATGTTCTATAAATTCTGTAAGTCCGATGTTGTAAACTTTAGCCAATCATGAGTTATGCATATTATCATGAAAAACTTGAGGAGAGACTCTGAGAATATTTCTCAGAAAAATCTGATATAGACTATTCAATGCAGTTTCATCTCCTCTTTTAAACAGTGAAAACCAAATCTCTCTATCTAGTTTCTATCAAAAGTTATTCAAAAAATATGCATCCTTTTTCTTTTTTGAAATGTGTATTAGTATATTAGAAACAAATAATACATGAACAGATTTAGCCAGTGTTTTATATAATGTGGGAGTCGAAGAGCAGAAGTCCTCTGAAAATCGGGGGACTTTTAAATCGTCCAAAATTTGGATAAAACATTTGATCCAGCCTACGAAAAGTAGGCCTGTTGGGAATTCAGGTTCCAATCGAAAATATTTCTAAAGTAATTCTTTTCATATACAGTTCCAGTCAACAATACAAAAACAAAAAATTGAATTTTCTTTGATAATGGTTATAACTTTTAAAGGAAAGACCGTGAAAAACGTGGCAACCTCTCATTTTGTTCATACCCTTAACAAACTAATTTTCACGTAGTCTTCAGGCACTTGAAAACTATTATATTTGGGTTTTTGCGCAAACCTTTTTCTTATAGTCTCCATCTATAAAAATTTCGTATAGAAAACTTTTAGTAGATCATAATCAAAACTAAGTTGTTCTTTTATTTTTGATCAGTCCTATATATATATATATATATATATGTTTTTCTTTTTATTGTATTTTATTCAATAGAAAAACGAAAATTGAATGTGATAACTGCAAAGCATTGGTGATAACATAGCGACACACTCATTTATTTATATATATATATATATATATATTGGAATACATGAAGACAAAACGAAAAGACGAAGATTTATGTTGATGTGCAGAAAGTGTACATAATCGCATAAAAGATTTGTCAATTGAAAGATAAATTAGGAATGTGTATTTATGTGCGTGTGAAGAGCAAGAAAGAAAAAAAAGAATTAGACGAGAAGATTTCCTGACTAATCATGTCTACTCGTCACGAATCGTTTGTTTCAATTAAATCATCATCATCATCATTCTCACACTCGTCGTTTTACAATATATAGAAAGAGATTCACATTAGAATACACACAAAAGAAAAAAAAAGAAGTTTTTGTTGTTTATAATAAATGAAAAAAAAAAAAAGAAATGTGAGAGATTGAAACGAAACAAAAAAAAAGAAAAAGGAATTTTGTTTTTATTTTTTTTTTCTGTTTTTTAAACATAAAATTCATTCACTTTTGTTCATCATCAACATCTTGTACTTCATTCTGGCCATTATCATTATCACCAGGCATATCGGTTGTCCACAATGTGAGATTGTCACGTAAAAGTTGCATAATCAATGTTGAATCTATTTAAAGAAAGAAAAAAAAACATAAAGAAAAAAGTTTTATTTTTTTATTCAAACCTTTATATGTATCTTCATTAAGTGTATCCAATTCAGCAATTGCATCATCGAAAGCCTAAAAAGATTAAATTAAATTTTGTAAAATATTACAAATAAAACAAAAAAACAAATTCTTACTTGTTTAGCTAATCGACAAGCACGTTCTGGTGTATTTAAAATTTCATAATAAAATACCGAAAAATTTAATGCTAAACCAAGTCTTATTGGATGTGTTGGTGGTAATTCATTTTGTGCTATATCATTAGCTTTTGTATATGCAATAAGAGAACTTTCAGCAGCTTCTTTACGATCATCTTGTGTAGCAAATTCAGCTTTATATCGATGATAATCACCTTTCATTTTTAAGTAAAATACTTTACTTTCACCTGATGCTGCATTTGGTAAAAGATGTTTATCAAGTAAATCAAGAATATCTTGACATATATCACGTAATTCTTTTTCAACCTTTAAATTATAATTCGATATAAAAATAAAAACAAAAAAAATCTATTATATTTAATAACAAACCTGAGAACGATATTTTTTAGTTAATGCAGTTTTACTATTTCCTGCTTTAGTTTCTTCTTTACTTTCAATATTTGTAATTATACGCCATGATGCTCGTCGTGCACCAATTAAATTTTTATAAGCAACAGATAATAAATTACGTTCTTCAACTGTTAATTCTTGATCCATTTTTGCTACTCGTTTCATAGAATCAACCATTTCTATTTTTTAAATTATAAATTTTATTTAATATTTTTCTAATTAATCAAATTTATTTTATTTTATTTTTTTACCTTCATAACGTTCAGCTTGTTCAGCTAATTTAGCTTGATAAACATCATCATCACGTGTAGCTGGCATGATTATAATAATGTATATTGAATAGAGAGAAAGGAGATTAGACGAGTGTTTGAATGTATATATAATAGAGAATAAAACAAACAAACAAAGAATATTAGTTGTCGATTATACGACCATATTGTTTCGTTGAACAATTCACTCATATTGAATTAAATAATGAGGCAGAGACAATTAAAATCAAATATTATGAAATAAAATTAAATTTTTAGAAGATAATGTTTTGAAAATTAATAGGAAATATTTAATTTTTTAGTTTTAATTTTATCTAAAACGACATCTATAGATGACGGACAAAAATGAGATAATGCAATTTCTACATCAAATACGAAGTTTGTTTTTCAGTTGTTAATTAAAGAAATCTTATAAAATCTTTCATTATATCAGAATAGAAATGCAAAAAAAAAACAAGTATATTGTTCTTATAACGAATTCTATAAATAACCATTTTTTTTTATTGAAACGAAAAAAAATCATAAAGTTTTTTTTTATTTATTTATAATAAGATCTAATTTTTGAACATGAATATTCTTCTACAAATGAACTATAATAGTAATAATAATACATCAAAAAAAAAAAAACAAAAAAAAAGGAAGAATGAAATGTATAGTCCTATTATCTGACTATGTATAGTTCATGTCAAATGATGTTTTTCTTTTTTTAATAAACTAATGGTTGAATCATTGGATTAAATAATGTTGATTGATTTGGAAAATTATTTGTTGGTATACCAAATGTATTCATAGCTGTCATCATTGGCATAACATTTGGAATCATTCGACCTGGTTGCATCATTGGACGATAACCAAATGACATACCAGGATGATGTACAGGATATGTATAATTTTGAGGAATAAAAGATGATGATAATGGTGGTGGTGGAAGTGATGATGGCATATGAAATGGCCGATACATAGTTTGTTGTTGTGGTTGTTGCATAATACCAAAAGGTTGTGCTTGTTGTGATGCAGACATAAGTATCATTGTTGATGATGGTGGAACTGATGCCATAGGTTTTGATGAAATATATTCAAAACTTGATGATGATGAAAAACTTCGATTAGGAAGTACAGCTGGTCGTCCAACTGAACCGCCAATAGATTGAGATCGATAACTATTATTAGCATCATTAGAAAATGATGATAATTGATTATATGGTGAACCTGATTGATTATAACCATTACAAAGTGGACGATCGACTTTAATAATACTAATAAATAAATTTTTTTTTTCTTAGGATAAAACTTAAAATGATTAAAAAAAAATTACCGTGTTCGTACAATTGGGGGTGGTGCTTCTTCTTGCATTTCTTTTTGTATAAGACGTGGTGGTGGTGTATGTGATTGTTCAATAACACGTTCAACAATTTCCTGAGCTTGTGGCCGAATAATAACCTGAAAATAAGATAATATAATTTTTCTTTTTCATTGTTGCTTTTTTTTTGCTTACTCGTTCCATCATAGCTGGTTCAGGTGTTGGAGCTCGTTCAACAACTCGTTTAATAATCGGTGGTGGAGTTGATGCACGAACTATATCTTGTAGACATTTTGTTTCACGTGTAATCATTCGACCTTCATATTCATAATCATCACTACTATCACTATCCGATGAATATGATTCCGGTGAATAAAATCTTTGAGGATCATTATATATATTTGGATATCCAGTTGACATAAATGTTGGATCAATACCATAACCAATTGTTGGATTTCCTCCATTTGGATATATAAAACGATAGGACATTTGTTGTATTTTTTAATTTATACGTATGTATCAATGAAAATCGATAATAAAAATGTTATAGACTCTCATACATTTACTATCACCGTTACGGTTCAATGCATTATAGAGAAAGACCAATGAAAGAATACATTTAAATAAAAAAAAATGGACATATTTATATATATATATATGATAAAGAAGAGACGATGACCTCGTCGTTAAGATTCAAAATGAATGAATGATATTTTCAATATAGACCCGTCATCGGTTTAATCAATCATTGAAACTATCAATTAGTTGTGAATATAAAAAACAAAAAAGTAAATGCATCTTCCACATAGACCATTCTTTATTAAATATTTCGCGTTCCTATGCATGATGAATTACACAAAACTAAGCAACAATCAATAAAATTTTTTCTATTTTTATTTTGATTGAAGGAAATATAATTCCATTGCTTGTCCATATTCACATGAGGAAAAAAAAAAAGAAAATGTTTTTCATTTTTGCTTATTTGCCCAATCCCGATGCAAATTTAGCTGATGCAAGTCGTTTACCCAAACCAGAAGCAAATTTAGCTGATGCTAAACGTTTGCCAAGACCACTAGCAAATTTTGCTGATGCTAAACGTTTGCCAAGTCCGCTAGCAAATTTTGCTGATGTTAAACGTTTGCCAAGACCACTAGCAAATTTAGCCGCTGTAAGACGTTTATCTAATTCATATGAATCTTCAGAACTGGTATCATCCCATGGTTCATCACTATTTGTGAATATTGTTGATTCAACAGTATTGAAATGAAATAAAAACAATACGGTTAGAAGACCAACAAGAAATATTAATTTTGCCTTCATATTAATTATTATAAAATAAAGAAGATGACGATGATAATGATAGGTTAATAGTAGGAACTAGAATGAAAGAAAGACATAATAATCAATCATTAGTTTAAAGAAACAAAATAAAAAAAAAAAAAAAACAAAGACAATTCGCTAGAGATAATACAAAAAAGAAAACTATGTTATAATATAAATGAATGAATGATATAATAATATATATGAGTAGAACATGTTTCGTACACTCTTTTTTTTTTATAAATGTTCTTTATGTTAGTTCTCCGAAAAGATTAATAATTGATTCTTTATATAGTTTTCTAGAGTACTAATAATCAATTGAATATGAACGTGTTAACAAAATGAGATTGGATTTTTTTTTTTTGTTTTGTTTGTATTTGTTCGTTTGAAATCTCTTATAGCAAAAGAAAAACAAAATGATTATATTTGTAAAATGAATCGATAGATTAATTGAATGAATGATTTACATATGTTATAAAAAAAAAAAAAACACAACATAAGAAATGGAAAATTGATGATGATTAATGGACCAATAGTTAAGAGAAGTAATTGAAAAGGTAGACGAATCGTTTCATCTATTGATTAGATGAATAACAAAAAACATATGTCCGTTATGAATTAAAATTTTTTTCATCGGATGATACTTTACATCTTTACTTACCAAAAAAAAAGAAAAACAAGTCTGAATGTATGCACTCTATTCTCAATAATGAGAAACGTGAGATACAAACTACAAGCGCGCAAGATCAAGAATTTCTTACCTTCGTGGTTGATATATATGATATGAAATAGAATTTTCTTTTTTCTTAATGTATTCGATTGTTCTCAATCTCAAGAGATAGCACAAAACAAAAAACATTAGAAACCTTTACACCTTAGCTCGAACACAACAACATAGATCCTTGAAAATCTGATTGATCGTTCACTATGGAATATGTTTTTTAGTTTATGAAGATGGATGCATTCAATGCTAACTTATTTTTATTTATATAGCATTCATATATAAAACGATGTCTAGTCTAGTTTTGTTCATCTGATCGATTTCATATAATATATTGATTAAATATAAGATTATAGAAGAAAGAAAAAGGAAATTAAAAGAAAACAATTTTTGATTTTTCTTCGTTTTCATATTATATCTTTTTCTTCGGCATATGTCAAATTCTATCATATAATATATATAAAAATTACTTATTGAAAAGAAATTTTTTACGATAGAAAATTGCAATGATGGGTGAGATGTCACATCATTTGAATATAAACATTTTTTGATTTTGAGAGAAAATGTAATCATTTCATACGCTTATATTTCTATTTTTTATGCACGATTAACAACAGCTAAATATAGAAGTGTTTCATTTTTATACGTAGAATTAATATAAGAGTTTCGAATGATTGAAATTGTTAAATAATATTAGATCTATAGGTTAATCTATTTGAAAATCTTTATCAATAATCTATTCATTAATCTTATTAGTACAGTGTAAGTTTACAGAATATAAATATAGATCGGATGGATCATATATAATTGCATTGTTAATATTTTCAAAAATTCTTCTTCTATATTCAAATACTTTTTTCTATCAAAAGATAGCGTTTGAAATTTTCTACAAAATCATACACGATAAAATCCAAAAAATATTTAAGATATACAGGGTCGGAAAGAATATTATTCAAGGGGGGTAACGATATAATCCCGAATAGGAGGTATGATAAATTTTATACCAAATGAAAGCCCGTGAAAAATGGGGTTTATTGATGTTAAATAGTAAGGGTTATGTAAACCTTTTAATATCGAACTTAAGAAACTTTCAGAAATTTTATACATTTTTGGGAGTAGAAAAGTAAAGTGTTAGTAATTCAAAAATGGAGTAAAATGTTTTTCTTGGATATTTTTACATAGTTCGATAGAGCTCGTCGAGCTCTACAAAACTGTATATACTAAAAATTTTTAAACAGGATCCTTGGATTGAAATTCAATGAAAGCTGTCTAAAGAAAACACCCAAAAATCGGCATTTTATGCAGCTTTTATAGAAGAAAAAAGTGGTCTGTTTTACAATAAATTCAGTTGTTTTCCATTAGTGTCCTTATATAATATGTTTGAAAATATATTCATTCGGTGCAGTTTTTCACGCTGCATCGAATGAGTATATTTTGAAACGCCTGGGGGAGTAAAAATAACCAAAAAAGCTAATTTTATTGCAAAGTCGAGTGTTTTTCTTCAATATCAAAAATATCAGTTTTTTTGCGTTTTTTAAGATTTTCCGAATAGTTTTTTGAACTTTTTATCACAGAAAAGTAGCTTAAAAAATTGTTAGTATATACAGTCTTGTAGAGCTCGACGAGCTCTATCGAACTATGTAAAAATATCCAAGAAAAACATTTTACTCCATTTTTAAATTACTAGCACTTTACTTTTCTACTCCCAAAAATGTATAAAATTTCTGAAAGTTTCTTAAGTTCGATATTAAAAGGTTTACATAACCCTTACTATTTAACATCAATAAACCCCATTTTTCACGGGCTTTCATTTGGTATAAAATTTATCATACCTCCTATTCGGGATTATATCGTTACCCCCCTTGAATAATATTCTTTCCGACCCTGTATTTGAAAGATATACAAACAATAGTAAAAACTAAAATATCAGAATGATCATGAATCAACAAAAATTTATTGTAATTTAATTGGACTAATTTCTAAGTAAACAAATAGTATGTAGATAAAACTCGTTTCATCAATATCACAGTCTTTCATACACACGTATTGAACAAAACTAAATATGTCACAGATATAACGGCGCTTACTTCACAAGACAAGAATGTCAATATCCATGTTTATTCGCACTATCACTGCTGGTATATCGACCGTAATGCTTATGACTTTTAATTCTAGTTATAGACAATTACAGAGAGTGTTCTCTACTTGAAATGCAAATTATTTATTAGAAAGAGTTCATATCTTAATTCTGACAGTTTAAACAGACTTCAAAAATATTTACCTATTTTGATGCAACACTTTCAAAAAAACTGATGGTAGTTATCACAAGGAGCAGCGAATTGTCTGTATAAAGATAGGCGCATACTGCTGCAATCGCATGAAGACAAAAAATCAACGGTGACTAATCTGCACAAAATAAGTTGACTGTGTCAAAAAGGATCTACAGATCATTATTATGTATTCATATCGAAGAATTATTGATTACAGAATCTGTTCAACGATAGTTTATGGAATGAACTACTGGAAACTATGAATTAGAGTCACATAAAAACAAAGACAATATTAATAGATGAAACAAAATGTTCTACTAAACATAATTGACAAGAAAAAATATTTTACATTCCGTACTTGAGTTTATTGTACGATTATGGATGATACTATATTCATTAAATCAAATATACGATTTTGTGTAGAATTTCAAACGATATCTTTTGGTACGACAAAACAAAAAGGATTATTTCAATCAAGTAAAGAACAGAGGAAACATTGGGAAAATACTAACAATGTAATTATCTATGACCAATCTATTGGGTTTTTTTCTAATATAAAAAGAAGTAATTGTTGATTGATAGTGTTTTTTTTTTGCTGTGTAAAATATTTAATTATAATATTAGATGTAAATTATTTTTCATATTCTTTCTATGAAAATGTAATCAATGATTTTTATTCATTATGAACTTCTTTTATTAAACATCTGAAATCGACAATTTTGAAAAAGAAACATTCAGATTGGATAATAAGATCTTGTTCTATCTGTAGTTGATTTGAAGAAAGTAAGATCAATTCAAACAAATCGTTTTCTCATGTTGTTTAGAGAATAAAAATCTGCTTCGTTTCAGTTACATTCTTTGGGTATTGAAACTGCATTTATATAACTTAAACTTTCCCTTCAATAGAAGACCACAGATCTTCTATTATATTTACATGTACAAAGTTTTATGATGAGTTATTCATTTGTAGCTCGTCTATTTTCATAATTTTTAGTTTTAAAGGTTTCTTGTAGAAAACGACAATGATTTTAAGGTCTTAAAAGCTCAAAAATAATATTGGACTTAGTCATTTAAGATTTTGAGCTCATGATCCTTAAAACATGCAGATTTTGTGTGAAATTATGAACCTGGTGTACCAAAAAAATGCACTCTGGTTTTATTAATCGAAGAAACACTAATGAATTCAAACTGTTTTTTAGAAGTTTATTTTATATTTAATCATAACTCAATTTTCTACACCTTGGGTCTCTCCCAAGTATCGAAAGAAAACTTTTTATTGCACGTTCTTTCTTCATATTATGACATTTTTAAAAAGCAAATATTTTTATTTTATATAAAAACAAAAGAAATAACCTTGACTGATTAACTTACTTATTAATAATAAACAATGATAAAATAAAGTTAATTTTATTACTTAATCATCAAATCAAATATTATGTTTTCTACTTAATAAAATCAACATAATAATAAAAAATAAATCTTACAAAGAATATTCTATAAATAAAAAGCTTCTAAAAGAATTGTATGTAATATTTATGTCAATGATTTTTTATATGTTAACGTACTGTCAACTTATATTGCTTAATATGATCCATTATAGAAATTAAAAACATAACGTCAAGTCAAACATAAATCTCACAGAAGTTGACATTTGAAATATTATCATTAATAGATTCTATTCAAATCATCTTAGAAATTCATTTAAATAACAGGAAATTTAGTTTCATATAAGAAAATCTTATTCATATTCTTTATCAGTCGTCATTAAGTTAAGTTTTTCTTTAACTTCCTTACAAGTTGACATGAAATGATTCATATGAAATTTCACAATATTTTTATAATACTATATCTCTAACAAAATATTTTGTAAAACATAGAAAGCAACAAAAAAAATAAATTTCACACATTTAAAAATACAATTTCACAAGAAAATATGTCGAATGTAGTTCGAAAGAAATTTTCGTTTTCTTTTGTAATTGATCTGATTTAAAATTAACACTATGATATTATTTTCGATAAATAAAAATTAAATTATTGATGTTGATATTTTATAATCCGAGAGAGAACATAACTGAATTTTATATGTCAATCAGTGATTTCAATAGAAATGTGAAATTTCACGTTGATTAATCTATAAACATAAACACATATAAATACATGACATCAGCGGCGTACGCAGGAGGGGGGGGGCGAGGGGCTCCGGCCCCGTCTCTTCTTGAAGAAAAGTTTCGTGTGGGGGAGTACGGGTAAAAAAAAGTACTACAGTACAAATTTTTGAAAAACTCCATTACGACCCTCCTCCTTGAGGACTTGGACCCCCCTCCCTTGAAAAATTTCTGCGTACGTCCCTGTATGACATGTTCATTCATATATGCTACTCAAATGTCTATTGTTTGCATAGAAAAAAGCAAATAAAACTTTAAGTGCTTGCATGACTAAAGACCAATAATGTGTCAAATGACAATGTTTGATTTTATGTAGAAAAATTCCAATATATATATATGTAACTGTATAAGAGAAGAAAAACAAAAATTCAATAAATTCATTTTTTATTTTTATTTTTAAATTTTAGTTTAATAGATATTTGATTTTTATTAATATTTTTTAGAAAATGACTTCAACAATATTGTATAGAGATATACAACGTCGTTTGTCTGTTGATCATTTACAGTCATCTGAAATAGTATTATTATCGAATGATTCTTTACGTCAATTGCTTTTTATTATTGGTATAGTTACAACTGTTTTATTTGTATTATTATTGTGCATGCATTTTATTATTAAAATACGTCATCTTTATCGAACTACTGATGTTAACAAACAAAATTCAATCTCTCGTAGAGACTCTTCTCGTCAAAGATTACCAGATATTAATCATAACTCTAAGCGTTCAAGCTATATAAAAAATCAATGTGGTAAATCCACTAATTATAAACATCATATGTTAAATAAATATTCAAATCATGAACAAATTCAGGATAATAACTATCAAATTTCTCGTCTAGATGAAATTTCACTTTTATCAGTACACATTGTTTAATGAAAAATAAAACAATCTTCAATCTAAATTAATCAATTATTAACATTTGTCTCTTTTTTGTTTTGTTTCTGACAATGTATTGTTATAGATTCTTATTTATTATATGCATGAATAAATGTTCAAAAAAAAAAAGAAAAAAGAATGATTTAAATGAATTATTACCTACGTCATATATTCTTCTTATTGTCTTTCTTTACAATTGATAGTTAATAGCTTCAGTAATAATACAAAGAATATCCCTATGGATTGTATGACATTATCGATAGCTAATGACAAGAATTCATTTTTTTTTGTGTGTGTATGTGTAACTGTTCTTACTTTTATTTATTTTTTTTTTTTATTTAATTATACTCAAAATGAATAGACTAATGTCTTCGGTGAAGTATTGCATCATTGAGTCTATTGAATAAAGAAAAACAAAAACAAAAAAAAAATGCTATTGTTTTTCTTTTTTCTCTCTATAATTTAATGTTTGTCTTGTTGTTTAAAAATAGATTTAACCATATCATTATTGTTCATTTTTGATTCAATAAGTGATCGTTTCCAAAAATGACGTTGTGGTAGACGTTTCCAAAATCGTGAGTTAACTGCACGAGTATCAAATTTATATGTTGGATAATAACTATTAAAATCCATCCAATCATTATCAGCAAGAGAATATTCATCATTTTCAAGTAATGCACTCGATAAAAATGTTATACTAATAATAACGATGAAAAAACATAAAAATGTATTCATCAATGTTGTATGCATAAGTACTAAAAATTTAAATTGATTTAATAAATATGTTTGTTTTAGTTTTTTTAGTAAAATATATGTTTTTTAACCTGTTTATTTATGTAATAGGGATGATAATTGATTATTGGATGAAGTATTGAATGATGCTAAAATGGAAAAAGAGAAAACTTTAATATGAATTTCTCTCGAGTTTTTTTTTTCTAGTCTCTCAATAATTAATAGATTTTTGAATTTTATTTTTTTTTCTCTCTCTCTCTCTCTCTCTCACCGTAGGTCATAAATAACACTACGATATAGAAAAAAAAATGGGAATATCTTCGCTTCGATTAATTAAAATGGGTTTATTTTTTTTCTATTAATCATAGAAGTTTGTTCAAAACTTGTTTTGTTTTTCGTATCAAAAAATGTTTGACCTCAATCAGAAACTTTAACCTATTGACAAATATGAAAAAGCTGTTAGTGCAAATCCTATGAGATGAATATGTGAAACACAATGCAGCTGTTATTGCTAATCACAGAGAAATTGTTTTCTTCTATCTATTTTAGGACAGACTTCTTCGTCATTCTTTTTACTTAATCCTTCTAAAATGCAATAAGAAATTAATCCATATATTAGAATGAGACATTATTGATATACGATTTCGAATAACTTCTGACTAGTGTCTGTGGAGGACATTCAAATTCTTACTTCTAAAGTGTCAACACTTCTTTTAGATCTTATTTCATAAAGTATACACTTATAGCGTCTCAAGATAACTTTCAATTATTACCTTAGAGAATAAAAAATTTCTATCCGATAACTAAAGATCTTTAGGCACTGAATTTCTAATTTCTGTTGTAGAAAAAAAATCAGTGTACTTAATAGTAAGAATTATATTCAACTAATTTGACTTTATACATGAATATACAAAAAAAAAATACTTATATTTAATTGAGCAATAATGATATTTAGCAATAAAACAAAATAAAATGAGCAGTAATGAAATTTAGCAATAATTATATGGAATGAGCAATAATTATACTGAATGAACAATAATTTATTTAAATTAAAAGTAAATTTTATATAAGGTAGATTTTATATAAAAAGGGCGTTATAGCGTGACTCGTTTATATATCTTTTTCATGTCTATGATGTCGTACAGATAGCAAGTGACGACACATATATGTCGAAGTTGACTTTAAAATATTTCAAAATCAACTAGTTGACCTTTAAATTCAATCAGTCACCTTTAAAAGGGTACCGAATTTTTGAAATCAACTCCGATATATACATATATCTTTTGTTTTCTTTCTCTCACTTGAATATTTCTCTTCTCTTGATGTTGTTCAGGTATATTTCCTTCTTCGTCATGTTTTCTTTCTAGGATATTTGGTTTTTTCCTGGCTCATTCATATATATATATAGTTACCGTTTCTATGACAAAGCAGTAGTTCAGTATTGATCTGTTAGATCAATCACCTGTTAACAAAGGGCAATATGAATTCATTTATATATACAAATACGTATTTTTTTATTTTTATAAAATAAAATATAAAAAGAGGCAGACCATCTAAAGCAAAAAAAGCTTTATTCACACAATAATATATTGCTTTTTCATTTTTTTCAATTGTAAAATAACTTTTTTATTTCTCTAATTCATATAAAATAATGTAGTTTTATTGCTAAAATATGAAATTACTACTTCTACTAAACGACTTAATTATTGCACATTTAAGAATATAAAATTACTCAAATAAAGTTTTTTTTTATTGCTAAATTGTATTTTAATTACTGCCCATTCCAATATTATTATTGTTCAAATAAATACTAGCCTATAAAAAAAACTGATATATTTATTCTCCATCTTGATTGAACAAGCGTAGATAGTGGTAGAAATGTTTAGTATTAGTGTCAATACTAAACAATGAGTCACCGATTACACTGACATTCGTGTTTGCTGCAACATTAAGATATTAACTCTATCAAAGTCTATTCTTTTTGTAGCAGTGTGTTTCAATGCTTTACCGTGCACTAATTCGTGGTAGTCAGTAAACTGCAACTGTACATCTCTAGATATGGGATGCATTCAATCCAAAATAGATTTGACATAAAATTCTCGCTATTTGAATTTGAACAAATCTATATAAACAATTTGAGATTTTGAGGTAATAACTCTTTTGAATGAAACTGAATTGTCTGGAAAAATTTTTATTTTTATAAATAGAATAAACTTATTTTTTATAGGAATTTTACTGTAAATAATTGTAGTATCTTATTCTAAGATTTCGAGTGTTTTTGCATCTTTAAATGCAAACGATATAAAATAAAATCGGAAACTAAAGAATATATATTAAATGATATACAAATTGAAGATAAAAGTCGTTGAATTCTTTTGTGAGGTTTTAATTTTCCGGCTTGTTATTAAAACAAATAATAGAAAAAAAAAGCAAAAGCTTTGATTTATAAGTATAAAGATTGAATAGAATTTTGAAGTGATTCTATGTTTTTTTTTTTATTTTAATCATTCATTCTCAGAAACTTGTGTTTGTTATATAAATCATTATTCGTTCTCATTGTTGTTAATATTTCAAAAGCATCAAGAGTTTTTCTTGTGTTTAATATGTTTTCATAATTAACTAAATCTTAAGACATATTGAATTCAAAATATTATTGCATAGAAAATTAATATAATAGATTGAATATATTTATTTAATCTTAATTTACTCTACCATCTGGTATATTTCACAAGATTTCTATTGTTATGTATTAAACAGAATTTAGCAGAAAAGAAAGAAAACATTGAATTGAATAAAACATCGCAAAATGATATCATTTTTCGATAGAGATATTTTATCTAATTACCCAAAAAAACAATATTAGCGAAGAAATAAAAATTTCTTTGTTTGATTTTTATATAATTTATTATAATGCTTTTACTTTATGATTAGTAATAAGTGTTTATTCAATAGCTGTTTTACATTGAATTCATTTTTCTTAGATTTTCTATCGAATGCTTCAAGTCAACAAGGAAAATTTATTGTACATTTTGATTATTCACATCCGACAGGAGTTTTCTTTTATTTTTTTATGTTAAAAATAAAACTGAACTCAGTACAGATAATAATCGAGATGCGAATAAAGCATTTGCTGTTACAGTCCTATTGAATAATACACTTCAGATTTACAATAGGCGACTAATAAATGACGAAGAACTATCGGTATACCACAATTGAATGACCGATCGTTTGAGAATTGTCAACATTTAAGAATGTAATTTCTAAAGGTGTCCTCTAATTACTGACTTATAAGAAAGAGTGTTGTGAAACATTTCGAAATTCCAGCGTTCGGGATATGAGCTTCTATATTTCATAGACTTATAACTTCATTTATCTATATGAATATTAAAGAAATTTCTGTCATTTTCTGAGAATTTATTTCTTATAGATTAGTAATTATGAAAGTTTTCTAGAAAATTAGACTTTTCATGTGTTGGTAATTTTCGTTTCACAGAAATCTGAACATAGCTGGGCGGTTTAAGTATCAGACTACGTTTGGTTTATTGCCAGCATACCGATAGTCTTTTTATTACTATCGGCAAATACAACTGGTCCAGCGCACATTATACCGAACGGTTTAGCAGCAGTTTTTGTCCTGTTTGAATCACATGAGTTGAATCAGTCATAATAGGATACATATGACTGACGAGGAAACGTATTCAACTAGTAATTGCCTAAGTAAAACTCAGTGAGACTAGAAAAATTCTAAAAAGATTTCTCTCCATAGATCTTCCTTGTGAAGAGTTATGACTGTTTGATCGGATTTTCAGCTTAGACAAGATATAAACAAGGAATTTTCACTTCAATTTTTACTCATAAATTTCTTGATCTTTAACATATTCTAAAAGTTTCAATCAAATCGAATATTTCCTTCTCGAAATATTGAATATTCAATACAACAATCATATACCACACAGAAAGTCATAAAGTCAATTTTTCTTCAATAATCTATATATCGCGAAGAAACCATCTGCTTTGATTGAAACTTTTACGGATATACTGAAGAACAAGAGATCTAGTTATAGACAAAAACTAATAACTCCACTAGAAAGATCTATGGAGAGAAGTTCTTTCATAATTTTTCTATTCCCACTGATTCCTATTTACAAGAAATATATAATTTCAATCGATAATTAACAGTTACATGTATTCCTTCATCAGATCACCTTTTCGATAGCATGCTGAATGTGTTGTGCTATGTATCTGTTCTTCTGGTTAATTAGTTTGTACGGTAAACTCAAGCTGACCTTCTGTCCAGACCTACAGTTAGTGTTAGTTGTAGAGAAGGTATTGAATTGATTGGTAGATAGCATCTCATAGTGCAAAATAATTTTAAATTTTAGGACATTTTCTATATTTTTCGATCATGTCTATTATAATATTCTTTGCCATTTTCAAGTTCTTAGAAGTATTTATTTCTCATTACAATATTTTTCAATATCAATAAAATATATTTTAAATTTGAATAATATGTTAAGTATTTAATTTCATTGAATTTTCTTTTAATTGTTAGTTAATTATTTAAATATGAAATAATCAATTAAATAAAGGAAGAAAAAATAAAGATGAGAAATATATAAATCATATGAATGTACTAAAATAACAATTTTTTTTTTTGTGTCATATGATCGTTCTGCACGATTGATTTGAATATTTCAATTATGTAAACAATGTTATTTTTAATATTTGCTCGTGATTTCTATTATTCATTAACACATAAAATAAATTTCTTATTTATCTTAAATTTTTTGTCATGATCATTTGTTTCGTCTTTTTGTCAAAAAATGTGTCATCAATACTTTATCAGAGATTTTTATCTCACTCAATTATATCAAATTCATATATGTGTATATATTAAAGATTGTTCTCACACTTAATATCGAACATCATGATTAATATATTTTATTTGATAAAAAGTGAAATTGCTAATAGCAATAAAAAAATAACCTTTGACCTTATCATTTTCATATAATAATTATCAAAGTTCGACTATATAAAGGCAATATTTTTATTATAAAAAAACATTTCTGTATCATATACATATTATACATCAAACAATGCAATTCTTTCCACAACAACAATGTTCTAGTCTTTTACCACAAGTAAAAATTTTGTTTAATATGAAAATATTATAATTGAAATTTATTTTAGTCCCAACAATGTTCAACCTATTCATGTTATAATAATACTTGTTTTCCTAATTGTTATCAACAACAACAACAAAAACAACGACATCCAACATTTAATTCATTATATTCTCAACAATTATATTATCCCGGACGACAACAAACATCACCATATTTATGTTATTCTCAACAACAATGTTCAATGTTGGCACAAAATGCTTATGGTTATAAAGATATTGGCCAAATAATAACACATTTTTGAAGATGTATCGGCATCATTAAAAATAAAATATCATAAAAGTACAATGAACAATATTTTTATTAATAAACATTCATTTGACAAAAAAATTCTATCATTTCACTGTATAAACTAGATTTCTTTTGTTTACATTTTATTAAAATTTAGTAGCTCATTGAAATAATTTCATTTGAATTAAGTAAAAGATATAGAATATCTATTGTTTAATTGACTGTCAAGAGTTCGAGATTTAATTGAATACACATTAACGTTAAAAGTACTTCTAATTTAGATGAAAGAACATGAAAGAACGATTTTCTTCTTCCTTTTTTTTTTTTTTTTTTTTTAGTAGAATATAAAAAAAAATCAATTATATCTCTGTCAATAAATGTCATATGAAATATTCAAAAACAAATATACTTTAGTGCAATAAAATTGCCAATCAATGGGTTTTTTTTTTTATCTTCTTTTAAATTTTTTCTTTTTTTTTTGTGAATCAACATAACTAGATTTTGATAATTAATCATTGATTAAATTTTTTTTTTTTGTCTTTGAAGGAGAAAAGTAAGGAAAATGTTTAAACAATGCATTTTAAATGAAAGTTCAGTCAAACAAATAAAACAAATTTTTTTTTTTTTTTATCAATGAATAATGTTATTGCGTGTCAAATTATATATTCATTTTGACATCTTAAAATTTAAATATGTTGTTTCTCCATCTGTCTTTATCTTGAAAAACTGAACAAGTTATAAGTACAGAAGAAAAAAAAAAAAAGACGAGACAGAAATGACTGACGAAAAAAAAAAAAACAAAACAATGAATAGTAAATAAAAATGAAAAGCAAATACACGATTTCCCTCTCTCTCTATGTTTGTCTCTTTTTTTTTTTTTTATACTTCATGCACATACACCGGGGTATCTGCTCGTAGCCTGATTTTGAAAAAGAGGAATGAATGATAACTATCACAAGCAAAAGAGAGAGAGACAGAAGAAGAAAAAAAGAAAAAAAGAGGAAATTTATTAAACAGCAAACATTTGTGGAATATATAAATCCGAATCATTCAATGATTGTGAAAGATCATCAAGAGCAACAAGATTATTACTCATTGTTGACGATGGATTGGTTGTTATACCAGATGAATCAATATTTCCATTTGTTGTATACATACTTGCATAAAGACGACGCTTAAAAAAAAACAAACATAATTTTAAAAATAATCATCAAATATTTTCTCTCACTTTTTTTGCTTCATTTTCCATAATTTCATACGAATCTGTATAATGTAAATTCGTATTTACATTTGCTCCATACATATGATAATGTTGTTGCTGTTGCTGTTGCTGTTGTTGTTGTTGTTGTTGTTGTAAAATATGATGTTGTTGTTGTGAAGGATCTGAATATGGTAATTCAATAAGTCCATTTTTACCTTTATTTGTTGTAACTAATGTTCGTCGAACAATAGGTCGTAATTTATACAATGGAGGTTCAGGTGTATTAGCTGTAATACATTTTGGACATAACCATGTTTCAGGTATATCATCACTAAATACACCTTCATTTGTAGATGTATCAGACTGAGAAGTCTAAGAATTTTCAAAACAAAAATTATTTTTTTTTTTTTTGTTTTCAAATAAATTATAAACATACATGAAAACATGGTAAATGATGAATTTCCATACAACGTTCACATTCATAAAGTATTTCTTCTGGTTTTAATTGTGATAATTTTCTTGAACCTTTCTTTTTTAAACAAATTTGACATGTTGCTGTTGATGGTAATATTGGTGCAATACATTGTTTTGTTAAACAACATTGTTTCATTTTTCCAACACCACCAAATTTTGGCATATCTTTACAATGTACACATTCAGAACAATCATCTCGACAACATGGTTCACATTGTTTACATCTAATAACAAAACAAAAAAAGAAAACATCGATTTGAAATATATATTATTCAAATTTTGAAATATACCGAACACGTTTATGTCGATCTTTTGCAGTCGTATTTTTATCTGTTTGATAATGTTGTTGTGTTGGTGATTTTGTTGGATTATATTGATTATAATTATTAGCATAATGTTGTTGTTGTTGTGGAGGAGGAGGAGGAGGAGGAGGAGGAGGATGAGGTGTAGGATAATAATTTGATGAATTTGAACTAGCTAATGGTCCACTTAATAAAACAGTTGTTGATGGATGTAATGTAACAACATTTGTAGTTGGTTGTTGCATTGATAATGTATCATATTGATGAGAAGGATGAAGATGTTGATGATGTTGATGATGTTGATGATGATGAAATGATGATTGTTGCATATTATTATTATCAGGATTTTTACGTTTAATGCCTCGAAAAGTCTCCGTTTCGTTCTTAAATATATAAAGAAGTATATTATATCACAAATGAAAAGAATAACAAAAAGAAAAAAAAATAACATTTAAATTAACATGACTTTTGTAATAGTTTATTTAGAGCTCCGCCGACTTTATGTACATGTATGTCTACGTTGTTTGTTATTTTTTAGCTTACTTGATTGTTAGTTGTTGTATCAAATGAATATTGATGATTATAGTTATAATGAATTATCGATTGACCAGTTATTGATAATTGAGAATCATCAGAAGCATGATCAATAAGAAGACGCTACGATTAAAGATTAGATTATATTTATATTATGATACAAGGTTTCAAAAAAACGAAGAAGAAATACAAAAAGAAAGAATGAGAGGTCAAATGACTTTTTTTTTTATTTGTGTAAATGTCTTTTTTCATAGGATATATAGACATTTTTCTTTTTTTTTTTTTATTGATCAGATTTTTAAATAAAAAAATTATTAAAAATAGATAAGATATAAATGATAGATTTTCCTACATATACAAAGAATCAAATAACAATCTTTATAAATGTTTTTCTTTTTCTCTCTTTCTTGGAAACGATTTTCTTTCCGTATAGAAACACTAAAAAAGAAAAAAAAAAAAAACTTCTATTTTAATTTACCTCCATTGATTCTAAAAGTTGTTGTGGTTGAATAAGATCTTCCGGGATCGATTTGTCTTTTAATTTGCGTAAGAGAGAACATAATGTTTGTAGACCGTCTAGTTCAAATCGAGTCAAATGTTGATGTTGCTGTTCAATGTCTTTATTATTATTATTATTGTTCACTAGCAACAATCGACTTGTTCGACAAGGTTTCAGATCTAAAGACAAATTTATTGTACCCATGTAATAGAGACAGAAAGGGAATGAAACAAAAAAAGAAAGGCTTCCTTCTTACTGTTCATCATTTGAACAGAATAACAATAGACCTCTCGAAAAAATACGAAGAAAAGTAGTAAGTAATAAATGAGCATATTAAAGAAATGAAACATAACATGATGTTTTGCAAGAAAAAAAAAAGACGAGATGTTCTAATTGACAAATATATATTTCTACCTGTGTATAGCCTATTCGATTACAGTTATAGTAGTTTGTATGTTTGTTTTTTTTATTTCTTTTTACAGAATTCTAAAACTCAAGACAATCAATACAAGTAAGAATAAATAGGAGCAATGAATAATAAGAGAGAGAGAGAGAGAAGAGAAAATGACGAGTGTATGGAAACAACGAGTTTTCCCTTTTTCGCCCTTATGCGTTCATTCATAAAAGATTTGAGTAATTTGCACACAGATTTCTTTTCTTCTACTCTTTCTCTCTCTCTCTCTCTCTCTCTCTCTCTTTTCTTTGAATGATCAGAAGACAGCAATAACATAGAAAAAGAGGGAAGGAAAATTTTGAACAAAGAACAAGGCATAAGCGCGCGTTGTATGTGTAGCGAGAACATATTATTATGATTGTATGTGTGTGTGTGATTGCACAAGCGAGAGAAAGTGATTGACGAGTGAGAACAGAGAGAGAGAGAGAGAAAAATGAGAACGTCGAATGATCAGGTTGTAATAGCGGTAGTACGCATTAATTATTCTCTTCTTTTTTTTTCCCTTTTTTCTTTTTTATTTTTTTTCTTCTTCTGTCATTTCAAATAAGAATTTAAAATTGATGGTCTTTCTATGCTTATATGTTTACAAGTGCAACCTATGCCCACTTTTGAAAATTTATAATAAATGTGTGCGTAGTTGTTGTCCAAGAAACAGAAAGATTTCATTTATTAATTAGCAAATACAAACATTTCTTTCTTTTCAAACACGCATATATATATATATATATATGTAAAGAAAAAATTAACAACAAAAATCTATGTTCTCATTTATGTTGATTCTCTTTTGCTTTCTTTTCTTTTTAGTAATGTTTGAGATTGTCAATATAAGATAAACCAGACAAATCATAACGACAAAGTATTTGTGTTTGAGTAATAAAATGAATATAGGATAAGAGAAGAAAGAAAAGAAGTTTTACAGATCAATATGACAACATTAAATAATAAGAAAGAACATGATAATGATTGAATTTTACTGTTAGGGACATGTTTAAATGAATAAAATTAAATAATCAATCCAAAAAAATGAACTATTTTATTTCTTTCTCATTCTTTTTATATATTCTATTTCTCTCAAAGTAAATACATCAAATTCTTATATTTAAAAATTTTCTAAATAAGAACAAAAAAAAAAAGAAAAACGATTTCTAATATGTAATCATAATAAGAAAATTCTTAAAATGAATGAAGAAAATAAATATCGTATTTCGTTGTCGATTATTTTCGGTTGAATGAACGATATAAAAAAAAAAAAAAAAAAAAAAAAGAAAGAAATTCTTTTCTTTTGTTTCTTTCTTCTCAATACAACTGAATGACAATTATTCACAAAGTTAATCGATACATTTTTTTTTTATTTAGTCAATATAAAGAAAAGAAAGAAGAAAAATCCTTGAAAAGCTTCTTACCAAATCTGACTTATTCGATCGGATACACACATTGCTCTCAAACAATGGTTTTACATAGACATATATATATATATATATACATCTCTATATCTTTGTTAGCACTAGAGAAAGATGACGATAGCAATGGTGTTATTATCAACATAGCA